TTATCAAACATCTGTTACAGCCTACAGCGCTACTACAACAGACACTTTGTTCTGAGTACCAACACTTTTGTTACAGATAATTTTGGGGCTAGTAACGGTACCTATTTGTCTGCAGTGGGATGGAGGGGAGGCTGCTGAAGTCTTGTCACACAATAAACAAGAACATTACGAGCAGGATTGGTCAGGCCATGCGTGTATATTCATTGTATACTTCTTGTATAATAGATGAAAATTCTAGGAATCATTCTCGAATGACACAGAATGGATAAGACAAGACTCCTCCTACCAAGCCCTTATATGGAAACCGGAAGGAAAAAGAGTTTAGGCAAGACCGAGACCAACGCTGCTAGAACCATCTACCATGGGCCTAATGAACATCCAAGGCCTAAAGCAGGTGGCAACGAACCGCCAGACATGGAGAACTATGACCTCTGCCCTATGCACCGCCCTAAGCTCAAGAGCAAAGACTAACTAACTAACTAACTAACTAACTAACTAACTAACTAACTAACTAACTAACTAACTAACTAACTAACTAACTAACTAACTAACTAACTAACTAACTAATCTTTCTCGATGACCCTGTATTATTGATGTGTCTCCATACCACAACTTACACCGTTTAGTCTCTGCATTTTCTGCTGTCACTATCACCGACCCCTGTCGCTCCTTATGCTGCATTACCCGACTTCCACCGGTCATTCCAATTCCATGTAACAGGTACTTCGCAGAACGTCGCTTGCATCACAGTCTGCCTGAAAGAAACTCGGTCTCTCGCCAGCTCTCCCGCCTCATTTCACCCACTGTGTCACTTACATCATGTGTTCATCATCGTGTTAGTCAACCCCTGCCCCTCCCTCCTGGCACCACGCCTTCTCTTCTGCTAATATTTTTTCCCCAGTCCGCCGTGACGCCTCAAGTGGCCACAATATTTCAGCTTCCGAGACAAGATGCTCTTTACTAGCCAATCTTCCTTGACGTTTAGAATGTCTGCCATTTCTTTTGCCCCATGTCTATGGAATTCTGAGAATCTTTCTGCGGCCTTTAAGCTCAAAGACTCCTCCTATTTTCTTCCTCAAGGACTTGGAGATATAGTCCTCCACTCATATCCCTATGCTGCTACAGGGAAGATGCAAGCTATTAAAATTATGCCTTTAATTTCCTTGCTGGTGCTTAACCATAGGCTTTTGAGGTTTCACATTCAGAGATTTAAAAATCTTAATATTTATGGCAGACCATCACGACAAATTCCAGATACCCCTTTCAATCTCCAAAGCATGTATAATTGGGATACTTGTGACGTCTTCACCAGACTTGCCGAAACAGGAGTCCTACGGGAGTAAGTAAAGTGACTTATCTGTCTTAGTTAGAAGCATCAGGGTGCCCGTATAGAAGTCCATTGTGTATCCTTTACAGGACGTTGCAGAACCAACCTCTGCAATTATTTTGGTTGTGATTTTACTAGGAAATTCACTTTAGTAGTCTGCCATTGCTTACTCAGGGTGCGATAGCACTGATAGCACTGCTGAAACCAACGCAATGCGGTCTGCTGTAAAGTCACACACAGCTCGGGATTACAAGCACGTTTGCAAAGCCCAAGACACACGCCAACTAATCCGTATACATTTACAATATAATAGCGACCCCGGTATATCAATCTACATTTACTTTTACCGTAATTTTACATGACACCTGGTACAGCCACAAAGAACCCCTTGCAGGCTGAACAACGGAACAGATTACAGAACTCAACATCTACATAATTAATTTCAGACGGCCTTGTCTTCTGTCCCAGTCTGTATCAAAATTATAGTCTAGCCACGCAGTCAGGGGATAATGAAAAGCAAAGTGTTTACACGGCACAAAGTCGATTGTGGGCAAATTTATGGATTTCACTGTTGGGTTAATGGAAGACCTGTCTTTAAGGGTAAGCCAAACCAGACAATGGTAAAGAATGGTGCAGAAGGAGAGAAAGAACAATGAAAAGAAAAAAAGTAGAAAAAAAGTAATAAAACAGTATAGAGGCACGAACCTGATAATTTTCCCACGGTTGTGAATGTAAGCGACTGCTTCGATCAACTCGGTAACGTAGAACCTGGTTAAATATTGACAATAACACAATCGCCAAACTGGCAGATGTTTGGTTCCCATTTTAACAATGGTGTTGCATTTGTTTAAGTTTATATAAAATTTTGTTTCTATCTATCTATCTATCTATCTATCTATCTATCTATCTATCTATCTATCTATCTATCTATCTATCTATCTATCTATCTATCTATCTATCTATCTATCTATCTATCTATCTATCTATCTATCAATCTATCTATCTATCTATCTATCTATCTATCTATCTATCTATCTATCTATCTATCTATCTATCTATCTATCTATCTATCTATCTATCTATCTATCTATCTATCTATCTATCTATCTATCTATCTATCTATCTATCTATCTATCTATCTATCTATCTATCTATCTATCTATCTATCTATCTATCTATCTATCTATCTATCTATCTATCTATCTATCTATCTATCTATCTATCTATCTATCTATCTATCTATCTATCTATCTATCTATCTATCTATCTATCTATCTATCTATCTATCTATCTATCTATCTATCTATCTATCTATCTATCTATCTATCTATCTATCTATCTATCTATCTATCTATCTATCTATCTATCTATCTATCTATCTATCTATCTATCTATCTATCTATCTATCTATCTATCTATCTATCTATCTATCTATCTATCTATCTATCTATCTATCTATCTATCTATCTATCTATCTATCTATCTATCTATCTATCTATCTATCTATCTATCTATCTATCTATCTATCTGTCTATCTGTCTCTCTGTCTCTCTGTCTGTCTGTCTGTCTGTCTGTCTGTCTGTCTGTCTGTCTGTCTGTCTGTCTGTCTGTCTGTCTGTCTGTCTGTCTGTCTGTCTGTCTGTCTGTCTGTCTGTCTGTCTGTCTGTCTGTCTGTCTGTCTGTCTGTCTGTCTGTCTGTCTGTATTATACACCCATCCGTCCATCCAATCATGCAACTAACAAAACCCATTTATTTATCCATCTGTCTGTCTGTCTGTCTGTCTGTCTGTCTGTCTGTCTGTCTGTCTGTCTGTCTGTCTGTCTGTCTGTCTGTCTGTCTGTCTGTCTGTCTGTCTGTCTGTCTGTCTGTCTGTCTGTCTGTCTGTCTGTCTGTCTGTCTGTCTGTCTGTCTGTCTGTCTGTCTGTCTGTCTGTCTGTCTGTCTGTCTGTCTGTCTGTCTTTGTCTGCCTGTTCTGTCTGTAAAGATATGTCTAGCTATCTTAATGTTTCGCTGTCTGCCTGTTTGTTTGAAATATGTCTGTCTTTTACTTCCTTTCCTTTGTATTACTTGCGTGTACACACATACGCACACAAGCACGACCATACGCTCTCAGATGCGCTCCGACAGTGAGTTAAGCCACTGTGCCACAAAGGCTTTCTGACAGAGTTTGACTTTCTGCAACTAATGATAGATTTACTTGTTGTACAACTGCTGAGCTGATGATGGTTATACGGACGATGATGATGACGATGATGACGATGACGATGATGATGACGATGATGATGACGTTGAATGTTAAACTTACTTAGTATCATTATCGCCTATTCTGCCCACCTGTTGGGCTGACGATGATGATGATGTGGGTGATAATGATGATGATGATGATGATGATGATGACGACGATGATAATGATGATGATGATGACGACGATGATAATGATGACGACGATAATAAAGACGGTGACGATGAATATTGAACTTACTTAGTATCGTTCTCGCTCATTCTGCCCACCTGTTGAAGTCTGTGACACAGGGAGACCGCCTGGGCCCAGTATTCGGTGACAAAGTAGTAGTATTCCTACGCAGGGAAGGTATAATCAGTATATAACTAAATAAATATGTATATAAATAAATAAATAAATAAATAAATAAATAAATAAATAAATAAATAAATAAATAAATAAATAAATAAATAGGGAGTCGATCAATGAAGTGGTCAACATCACGCCGGCCGCCTTTACTTCTAATGATACCTGGTACATAAGACAAATATTATATGTGGTTGAGCACTTGCATACATATATGGCAGACGTAAAAATATGGCAGACTTACAAATGTGGCAGACTTACATACATACATGACAGACTTACATACATATATTGCAGACTTACATACATATATGGCAGACACACACATATATTGCAAATACATACATGTATGGCAAATACATACATGTATGGCAGACTTACATAAACACATATATGGCAGACTTACATACATATATGGCAGACTTACACACATATATGGCAGACTTACACACATATATGGCAGACTTACATACATACATGTATGGCAAACACTTACACATATATGGCAAATACATACATATATGGCAGACTTACATACATATATGGCAGACGTACATACACATATGGCAGACTTACATACACATATGGCAGACTTACATACATATATGGCAAACCTACATACATATATGGCAGACTTATACATATTGCAGACTTACATACATATATGGCAGACTTACATACATATATGGCAAACTTACATACATATATGGCAGACTTACATACACATATAGCAGACTTACATACACCTGTGGCGGACTTACACACATATATGGCGGACTTATATACACATATTGCAAACTTACATACACATATTGCGGACTTACATACATTTGTGGCAGACTTACATACATATATGGCAGATTTACATACATATATGGCAGACTTACATATATATATGGCAGACTTACATACATATATAGCAGACATACATACATATATGGCAGACTTACATACATATATGGCAGACTTACATACATATATGGCAGACTTACATACATATATGGTAGACTTACTTACATATATGGCATACTTACATACATATATGGCAGACTTACATACATATATGGCAGACTTACATACATATATGGCAGACTTACATACATATATGGTAGACTTACACACATATATGGCAGACTTACACACACATATATGGCAGACTTACATACATATATGGCAGACTTACATACATATATGGCAGACTTACATACATATATGGCAGACTGGATCTAAAGGAGAAGATGACTTTGGCCAGGAACGGCGACGGCTCCCCTCCCGTGAAAGTGAAGGGGATGATCGCCCTGACGGCGTCGATGTAGTCCACTCGCTTGCCGTCCATCATGGTCATGACCACCACCAGCTTGGGGTTCTGTTTGAGCACTTTGGTGGCAGCGTACGGTGTGAAGTCCACTCTGGTAGCCAAGTAGCTCTGTGTCCAAACATAAAGTTGTGTTCCTTATTTGTTTTAGAGAATGGAAATGTAAAAGAGAGCAGACAAATGTAGAATGAAATGTTCTCTGCCATCAAATATGACCGCTATGCACTCTACAATAGTGCTTTTCAGAAGTTTTGCTTTTATACTTTAAGAAATATCTCAAAAACTACAGAACGGATCAACACGCGTGTAGCCTAAGATCTCCCATGTCCTTATGGTTTTATAATTTACAGTTGCACGGATGCTGCATTTTTTAAAACAAATAATGTGTTTACGCTAAAAATAGAAAGTACAGTAACTGACACACGCGTGGAGACTCTTTGGAATTCACATCTGCATGGTGATTTTTTGATAGCCTATCCAGCATACAATAAAAAGTCCACGACTCACCAGAGGCTAATGCTGAAGATAACCGCATGAGAGTAAAACCCCTATGAAACGCGTGATATCGGATGTTTTGAAAAGATAGATGCATCACAAACATGACGTCATTCTGCACATTGCCGTTACCGCCTCGTCCTAGTTTTCAGCAGCAAGCGCACAGTTCCCATTCTGATAGTGCCAAATGCAGTCTGACTGTGTGTGTCACTTGATTTCAAGCTGAGCGCTAATACAGGAATTACTGAACACCCGTCGAAGCTTACGCGAGGGTACAGACACACACTTCAGACAAGCAGACGACATGTTACCTTGCCCAGTCTGCCAGACCCGACATGACGCATGAACTTCATGAACTGGTTAGGGTCAGCCTCCTTGTCATCATCGACATGCCTGTCCTTGACATTGAGATGGGGCGGGAACACAGATAACTGAAAGAAAAAAAAAAAACCATCAAACGAATACAAATAACGCTCAGACAAATGAAAAACGCCACATTCGAAGAATACTAGGAGGGAGAGGCGAATCTCATCAGTATAAAGTAAAGTAATGGACCCCTTTTTCACCCCTTTAGGCGTATTGGGTATATAGGGCTAGACCTATATTTTAAAGACCAACGGCACTTGGTGGTGATGTGGTCTTTACTTCCAAAAACTGCATCGTGGGGGGGGGGGGGGGTGGGGGTGAGAGATTATCTTGCTGAGAAATTTAAGGTCTCTCCCCCCCCCTCTCCCCTACCCCCCCCCCCTTCCGCTATTCCAGGACTAACAACAACACAAACTGTTTAAGAAAATGTGCAGTCACATATAAAATACAGTCCTTTTTTAAAATCAAAATCATACCCCCACCCTCCCCCCTGCCCCCCATCCCTCTCCCATGACAAACAAGAAAGCGACTCACGTAAAGATCTTTGGTAAACACCGGGAACTTCTCGTCTCTCGTGGTGTCCCTGGCCCGCTCGGAGAAGACACAGGCTCGGATGTGTTCTGGCAGATCCTGCTTCTGCTGATGGTGATGTTTCTGATGGAAGGAGACATGGAATATTGCAGATGTGTCTCTAGTTCATGTACATGCTAGTGATGTTCATGTATTGATCCTAAATCCAAGGACGTCGCTGCATGTGACCGCACATCCTAGCGCTCCTCTCCTTATCGAGGACCTGTAGCCCATGAAGCTGCTAGAACTGCAGCAGCAAATTCAGAAAAGACAAGCCAGGAAAGACACTAAAGTAAATCACCAAAGAGATGCGGCTTCTTTTCCTTGTGCACACTGCTTAAGAACTTTCAGTGCTAGAATTGGCCTTATCAGCCATCTGCTCACTCGCAAAACCTAACCCAGCCACCATTGGATGAAAGGACTGGTCCTCATCACTTGTGATTGACAAACAACAACACATGTTATAGGAACCATCGCGTTTGTGTATGCTATAGGGCAGGCTCGTTCAACTAAGTTTACTCACATGTCAAAATGCTGGACCAGAGGGCCGGAACCCAAGCATTAAAGATCAGTAATACCAAAAAATGCACCCGACTGTGTGGATGCGATACTTGCATCGCCGATTATTGCAGTAGGCTCAAGGTGCTCATACCTCAGTGTAGCTGCAGACAAAGAACATCCTCTGTATGAAGCTTCGGCTGCAGGTCAGCGTCAGAGGCTGAACGGGGGAAAATCGTCGATGGCTCAAGCAGAAGACACAAGACAATTATGCATGCTGGAGAACATTGAGCGAGGAGAGGAGTGGGTCAGAGTACCAAAGGAAAAGTCTAACCTGTGTAAAGTTATGATCACATTGGACCGGGAGTGCAAAGAATGGCCAGCGGGTGCTACGGAGGTTAAAGTTCAACAGCTGATTCACGACAATTCAAGCTCAGGTGATCTGATTATCTTTACAGAAAATTCGGTGGTGAGAGAAAAGAGAAGTGCATGGGAGTTCGTAGCGAAAGTTACTGGGAAATCTTTAGTGCAAGACAGCCTAGCATACGACACCTGAACATCTAGCATGAAAATGGAGGTGGAGATGGAGCTCTCCGGTGGCTAGAGAACAAGATGGAAACACATGTCGAAATTGTAACAGACTCTGTAAGCATGCTGAAAAAGGTGAGGACAGGGATGCTTCGAGCAGAGTGGCAAGCTTCACTTGGAAGGTCACGAGTAGTGAGCATACTTTGGATCTTTTCTCTAGGCGATGCCGGCGTGGCAGGTAATGAAAAACAGATAGATTAGCTGGATCAGCACCACTAGGTTGTGAATTGATACGTGAAAAATCATATGTGGTCAAAGCCCTTTGGGAACAAGCAACGGAATCAGTATAGAAATACGAATATTATGGCCTGGGTGTGAGCAGAGGGTCTGGCCAGCTCACTACACACAGATGAAAGGCAAGACGGACATATAACCAGATTGTGACTGGTACCATCAGTATTGAAACTCTGCGCTGGCTGCTAAAGATGAGGACGGAGCACGCATGGGAATTACCCGAGTGCTGTATGTCAATTCTTGACAGCTCAACTCAACTCAACCCAAAAATGGGGGGGGGGGGGGGGGTGGAGGCTCTGCCCTTATATATGTTCAAATAAATAAAAATTGAAATTGGATTCATGGTGGGGGCGGGGGGTGAAATGGCCTAAACGCACACTGTTAGCAACTTTTGTTGTTGTTGCTTTACCGCTCTTTTCATTTGATTCCCAATGACGTTGAGCCACATCTATTTGCCATACATCAAGGCTCCACCCAGCGCTGCAGCACCTGCCTACCAGTCTGCGTGCCCTGGAGACAGACCTGCTGCAGCACCTGCCTACCAGTCTGCGTGCCCTGGAGACAGACCTGCTGCAGCACCTGCCTACCAGTCTGCGTGCCCTGGAGACAGACCTGCTGCAGCACCTGCCTACCAGTCTGCGTGCCCTGGAGACAGACCTGCTGCAGCACCTGCCTACCAGTCTACGTGCCCTGGAGACCTGCTGCAGCACCTGCCTACCAGTCTACGTGTGGAGACACACTGCTGCAGCACCTGCCTACCAGTCTGCGTGCCCTGGAGACAGACCTGCTGCAGCACCTGCCTACCAGTCTGCGTGCCCTGGAGACAGACCTGCTGCAGCACCTGCCTACCAGTCTGCGTACCCTGGAGACAGACCTGCTGCAGCACCTGCCTACCAGTCTGCGTGCCCTGGAGACAGGCCTGCTGCAGCACCTGCCTACCAGTCTGCGTGCCCTGGAGACAGACCTGCTGCAGCACCTGCCTACCAGTCTGTATGCCCTGGAGACAGACCTGCTCCGTTTAGCGTGGAAAGCATCGCAGCAGAGGTTTCCCGGCAGTTAGTGTCCTCAGTAAGGACATTGATATTTATTACTTGTTGTCCGTATGACATCCTAGCACATCGGTCTCACGCATACGTGCTCCGTCCTCAGGTGCAGCAGCCATCTCAGTGCCCATGTGCTCAATATATCAAGTAGGATTTGACTGTCTTTTCCAGGCAAGGGTTTTTTGCATGATTATCCTCTTTAATACCAATGTCTAGCAGGCGATTCATTATCTCTGACTCCTTTGTCTCAAAGTCTCTAGAGGCATGTTGTACGCCTCGAGTGCTAGAAATTCCGGGTTCAATCCCCGGCAAGGACTGGGATTTTTTTCATGTGGACTTGGACATCTAGTAATTGCCCCTGGTCTCTGGGTAGTCAGATCGGACGCCCTTGTGCATTGTTGAGCAGTCAAAACTCCCTAGGCAGTTGGAAATCGAAAAGAGTAGCCTAACGGCACTGCCGGGCAAAATTTTTAGTTAAAAATCTACCCAAAGTTTTTCAGGATCCTCGCCGGTGCCACAGAACCTGTGCACTGTGCTGAGCTTCTTCGAACCCACACTTTAGTTAGCTACGGGTCAAAATGCCTGTCCTGTTGATACATCTTCCTCCGTCAGTCACATGGCCAGCCTATCGGATCTTTTCTTTCATCGTGTCGTGCCCCCGTGTGTACATTCAAGATTGCTCAGAAGGCAATTGTGGACGCTGTCTACTATTTCTAGTCTTCTTCTTCTTCTTCTTCTTTTTCTTCTTCTTCTTCTTCTTCTTCTTCTTCTTCTTCTTCTTCTTCTTCTTCTTCTTCTTCTTCTTCTTCTTCTTCTTCTTCTTCTTCTTTTCTTCTTCTTCTTCTTCTTCTTCTTCTTCTTCTTCTTCTCCTCCTTCTTCTTCTTCTCTTCCAGCTTGGTCATCGAAGTACAAGTGGAGCTGACAATAATGATACAAAGAAACGCTACAGTCACTTACAGCTGTTGAAAACGCCATTGTTAATCTTCCAGTTGTTATTTTTTTTTTTTAGATATCCATCATTTAATAGACTAAAATATTGTTCACATAAAAATGTATTGATGACTTTGTCCACACGAAGATTATTGATGACATTTTCAGCAAGTAGACGAGAAACACGTCACAAACTCTCAAAGTAAAGGATAGAAATTGATTCTTGAGGTATTACGTCATCAATAATTCATTAAGATATTGATTCCTTAAACATCTCTGTTAAAAATGGAGTTTCGGAAGCAAAGATCGACATATGAGAGGCACACCGCACGTGTGAGATGTTAATCAGCATGGGACTGGTATTACTAGCAGCCCAGGGCCTCTGCGCTTTATGCCATACTATATCTACGCCCCTGGACGCCCACCTACAAGGGATTTGTTGTTTAAATTATTTTTGCCTCTGTTACCAGTGTAAATGGGGTTGATGCAGCAACGTGTCTTTCGCTTTCTCTGCTTCTCCGTAATAATACCTTGTTATAAAAATACCTTTTAGCACTCCCACTGAAAATAATACTAAGTCATTTAAAACAGGCTTTCTCTTCTAAAACAAAAAACAAAAAAAAAAACAGCACAATCAATCACTTTCTCTACAAGATTAAAGACAACAACAGCAGGCAGATATCTGGTGATGAAGTCAGCTTTTAGAAGCAGTCTGTTTTAAAATAAGAAAATATTTATAACATGCACGCACGGTTCAATTCCCGCTAGACGCCTGTCGCTCATGGCAACGCCAACATTGACTGGCTATTTTCTGTGTACATGATATTTCAGGTGTCAGATTTCTCACCTTCTCCCAGTTGACGTAAACATGTTTATTGTCTTGTGTTGTTATTTCTAGGACTGTGACCTGATGAAATAAGTTCACATGTTTATAATTGTGGTAGTAATTTTATCCTGTGGTGTCCACATCTTGGGTGACGTAACAAAAGGGATATCAAAATATGGCACATATTCGCACGTCGTCTAAGTGGTGACTACAGGGTTAGGAGGAAACGATCATTGTGTATAGTCGTCTTTTATAGTTTTTATAGTTTTTATTTTTTTTTATTTTTGTTGTTGTTGTTGTAGAGGCAGCAGCCCGAAGACACCTTATCACGGAGACAGTCCTCATTTTCCGGCCATGTTATGAGAAGAGGGAGAATAGAACTTGTTGTGACCACTGGAAAGATCTGTGGAAGGAGGGATAGAGGAAGACAACGAGAGAAGATGCTTGACAGTCTTATTGCATGGCATGGAGGTGTGTCGGCACACGAACTGATACATGCTGCAGGAGATCGCGGATTATGGAGAGGCATGATCGCCCACGCCAGTCGGCAAGGCACCTGATGATGATGATGATGATGTTGTTGTGTTTTGTTTCATTGTTAGTGCTTTTATTAGTAACTAAGAGTAAAAATGTCATTTTTCGTATAATCTACCGCTGCTGCTCTTAATGCTGCCAAAATGATCGCAACTCTAATAGGAGTAGTTGCACTACTACTGCTGCTACTACTACTACTACTACTACTACTGCTACTACTACTACTACTACTACTACTACTACTACTACTACTACTACTAATACTACTACTGCTACTACTACTACTACTACTACTGCTACTACTACTACTACTACTACTGCTACTACTACTACTACTACTACTACTACTACTACTACTACTACTACTACTACTACTACTACTGCTACTACTACTACTACTACTACTACTACTACTGCTACTACTACTCCTACTACTACTACTACTACTACTACTACTACTATTACTACTACTGCTGCTGCTGCTGCTACTACTACTACTACTACTACTACTACTACTACTACTACTACTACTGCTACTACTACTACTACTACTACTACTACTACTGCTACTACTACTACTACTACTACTACTACTACTACTACTACTACTACTACTACTGCTACTGCTACTACTACTACGACAACAACTATTACTACTACTACTACTACTACTACTACTACTACTACTACTACTACTACTACTACTACTGCTACTACTACTACGACAACAACTATTACTACTACTACTACTACTACTACTACTACTACTACTACTACTACTACTACTACTGCTACTGCTACTACTACTACGACAACAACTATTACTACTACTACTACTACTACTACTACTACTACTACTACTGCTGCTGCTGCTGCTACTACTACTACTACTACTACTACTACTGCTACTGCTACTGCTACTACTACTACTACTACTACTACTACTACTACTACTACTACTACTACTACTACTACTACTACTACTACTACTACTACTACTACTACTACTACTACTACTACTGCTGCTGCTGCTACTACTACTACTACTACTAACGCTGCTCCTGCTATAGATTATGCTACCGCTATTCTTAGTTTGGCTACTGCTCCTACTACTACTGCTGTATTACCTACTGATGTTACTGTATTACTATTTATACTACTGTATTACTATTCATACTACTGTATTACTACTGATGTTACTGTATTACTATTGATGCTATCGTCACTGTTGCTGATACTGCCATTGTTTCGTTTTTACAGCTACTGACGCCACTATTCCTAGTTTTATTATTACTTTTTTTTTCTTCTTCTATTTTTGTACTGCTTATGTTGTGAAGCGTCGCCGAGAGCGGTTCCATGTAGTTTCCTGTTTCAAATTACAAACTACATTACCCAACAAATAATTCATGCGTTGTCTGCAACGCAAAGGTAATTTCAGTTTACATAAGCTCCCAATTTGTCTTCCTGTTGCCTCCTCAACCTCTCTCTGTTTCTGTCTGTCTGTCTGTCTGTCTGTCTGTCTGTCTGTCTGTCTGTCTGTCTGTCTGTCTGTCTGTCTGTCTGTCTGTCTGTCTGTCTGTCTGTCTGTCTGTCTGTCTGTCTGTCTGTCTCTCTCTCTCTCTCTCTCTCTCTCTCTCTCTATATATATATATATATATATATATATATATATATATATATATTGCCATTGCCAGTTGTCCAAGAAAAATTCCAAACTTGATCCTCTTTCAGCCGCCTGAGGGCCTGCTATATCGAAGAAGGGTCCTTTGCTGTCTTTTATGGTTTCCTTTTATTTGTGGTGTGTAGACACACCTGATATTATTGTTGTTTGCTTCCTTGCTGTGCTGCGTTGTTTGCGGTTTTGGGTTCTGGTGTGATCCAGATCTCTTTGCGATGATATTGAAGGGTACTAGCTGACTGTTGCTGGTGCTTGGCTTGCCTCGTGCTGGTCGCTGTGCTGGTGCCCTGTTGCTGCTTGGTTGCCGATCTAAAAGCCGCCGGAGAAAGCCAAACAAATATCCGTTGCTCCATCGATACAAACAATGTTCCTTTTCAGGACAACCAGGGCCGTCACAATCTGTTGTTGTGATCGGCCCAAAAAAAAAAAAAAAAAATCTTTTTTTTTTTTTTTTTTTTTTTCCACGGAGTGTGGAGAAGTAGTGGAGGTGAGATAGACTGCAAATGAGAGGTCAGTTTGCCCGAATGTGCCAGTAGATGTGATAGTGAGGTCGGGAGAATGAGAGTGACAGATAGAGGCAGGATCCATCCCGGTCGGCTGAGTTCGCTTGGTCTGAAATAAAAGTGAAAGGCAATTGTTAACATACACGTGGGGTGGGGTGGGGTGGCATGACGGTGACTGGGATTCCCAAGTGCTGGTCCCCTTTGGTGCAATGCCCTCGGCTGTCTGCTTCGGGGCGTCGGGCGGCCTGTGGTATTTTCCGTTGTCTTCTTTTTTCTGAAAATAAACTAGATTAAGATTTTGGTTAGTTAAGTGGTGATTACGCGGTTATTTGCCATTAGGGCGGAGCGGGTGGGAGTGGCTCCGGTACGTCGACCCGCTGTCCGGTTGGTGGTTGTTTGCTTAAGGCTGTCCTTAAAGATGGCGGCTTGTTTGGTGGGCTCTTTCTGTGGCTATTAGAATTGGCGGCGGCCTCGTCTCCTGGGAGTGCCGTTATTCCAATTTTTCTTGCGAATTTGGATCAGGGCCGCATTAAATTCGTCATAGAATTGGTCAAGTAGTCGGCCCGCTTCTGTTTCTTCTGGTGTTTTGTCTTTTTTCAGGATGGTTTCATAGTGGTATTTAACGCAGTAGCGCCTACTTTCTTCGTCGTACTCCAGCTTGTGCGGGACAATATGCTCGTTGTATTCTTCAAGCAATGCTTCGAGGTCAGCCTCGCAGGTTGCGTCAGCTACTGGTTTCAGGCTGCTGAGTGGCTGCCTGGTGGCTGTCTCATCGCTTGGTTCTTCGTTCATATCGGGGTCTGTCATCTGTGCCTGGTGCTGCATCACTACCGCTTCGGTAAGTGTGCTTTTGTCGGTATTTGGTTGTTTTACAGTTTTGCTGGAGATCTCTCTTGCTTTTCTCTAGCAGGACGCGCTCTGTTCTTGCCGCCAGCACTGCAGCTTCGGCTTCTGCTTTTGCCTGTATCATAAGGGTGACTTCTTTGTAAGTGCTCTCGCGGGCTTCCCTAAGTGCTTCGGTTTCTTTTCGTCTCTCCTCCCTTTCTTCCTGTCGGCGGGTCTCGTCTGCAGCTTTGTCTGCTTGTAATTTTTGTGTCATTTCTGTCAGGTTTTCTTGCATTCGTGCAGCCTCTGCTAGCCACTTCGTTTGCTGCGATACTTGTTCTTGTCTGTCGTCTTTCAGTGCTTTGATTTCGTCACGCATCTGCGATATCAGGTCTAGCATCTGCGTTCTGTCAGCGTCGGTGTCGGACTTTTCTTTGCGGAGAGCTCTGATTTCCGCTAAGATTTCAGAGATTTTTTCAGGGTCCATTGCGGCTGTGATCGTTTTGTCGGTTAGTCTGTCTGTTGTCCGTTGTGCTGGCTTCCAACTCGGTTGCTTTGGTGCTGCTGAGGACCTGGGTGCCACGTATCTCTCTCTGGCTGCTTCGTGGGCGGTTCTAAGTGATCTTTTGCACTGCTGGAGATACGGGCAGCCCATGTATCTCGCGCCGTGCGCACCGGA